GCTGGCCACGTGGAGTCGTCCTGCTGGCCACGTGAACTCGTTCTGCTGGCCACGTGGACTCGTCCTGCTGGCCACGTGGAGTCGTCCTGCTGGCCACGAAGTCTCGTCTTGCTTGCCACGTGGACTCCCCGTTTATCCGCTTGAGCTGTTCGCTCGGCAATGCTCTCCTCTCCGCTCGTATCTAATCTGCTGGTCCTTGAATGACTCTGCAACAAATGCGGGTGGTTGACCATTTCGCTCTGAGTCTTCCCGCCCAGCCCAGCGCCCCTCCCCCTCTTCCTCCCCCTTCTACTCCCCCGCCCACTCCCCTGCTTGCTCTTCTGTTCTCTTTGAGTGTTCGGAGGCAGCGGACTTCCATCTGCCCTCTTCTGAGTGTAGGCGATTGACCATTTCGATTTGAGTATCTTCCCGCCCAGCGCCCATCCCTCTCTCCCGCCCAGCGCTCATCCCTTTCCCCTTCTACTCCCCCGCTCGCTCTTCTGTTCTCTCTGAGTGCTCGCAGGCAGCGGACGTTCTGGGGCGGGACAAATGTGAGACTCGTCAATATGCACCTGGTCCAGGAAGGCGTCCAATGCGTTTAGGATGTTGAGTGGAGCAAGATCCAACGTGTGCAAAAAGCATACGGACGTGACGGAGAAGTCCAAGCAGTCGTTTAAGGGGAATCAAACGGAATCAAACGGAAGGGAACGGAACGGGATGGAAGGGGATGATTACGTGCGTTTTCGCCGTTATCAGGGAGAGCAGTTGTTTCTGAGTCACACTCTCTCTCATGGCATAGGGCATTGCTCCACTATCCACCAGACGCACAAAAGACACAAAATATGGCAGCGTATCTTCCCATGTTCTAGCGGAAGATTTATTCTCATTTTGTTCATTTCGTGAATAGTGGTGCCATAGTCTTCTGCGGTGGTCACGTCATCTTAGCAACTCGTGAACGCCGGCCGGCCGAGACCGTCCACGACTTAAAAAAAAAGAAGATCGACCAGGACTTCCTCCTCCTTTTTGTGGTTTTCTCTTTTCTTCACTTCTCAAATACACACTCGTATGTTCCACCAACTCTTTGGATCGGCTTGTCCACCTACTTCCCTCTTTCCTACCCTTACGTCTTGCCGTCCGTCGTCGCTCGCTTGGTAGATATATGTACATTATCGACCTTTCAGTCCGTCAAAATTCGGTGTCCGTTGTTGAGTTTGACGAGTCTTCGAGGAGATAGAGACGCGCGCAGACATACGCACACAGAGGGGTTTACGTACGTCATGTCCCACCCGCATTTCACAGCTTTTGGAGGTAGCGAACCTTCCGGTGTACACTATTGGCAAGGGCTTCTATACTGAGAGAAGGAAGAAGGGTGGGAGGGAGGGAAGGAAGGGAGAGAGGGCGGCGCCTGGCAACCGTGGACAGTAGATTGTCTGGTCTTGTTATGTCGTGCATGGACGACGTAGAAGAGGGGTGTGTTGCATGGCGTGCATGAACGACGTAGAAGAGGGGTGTGTTGCATGGCGTGCATGGACGACGTAGAAGAGGGGTGTGTTGCATAGCGTGCATGGCCGACGTAGAAGAGGGGTGTGTTGCATGGCGTGCATGGACGACGTAGAAGAGGGGTGTGTTACATGCCGTGCATTGACGACGTGGAAGAGGGGTGTGTTGCAAGGCGCGCGCGGACGACGTGCATGGACGACGTAGAAGAGGGGTGTGTTGCATGGCGTGCATGGACGCTGTAGAAGAGGGGCGTGTTGCATGCATGGCGTGCACGGACGACGTGCATGGACGACGTAGAAGAGGGTGTGTTGCATGGCGTGCATGGATGACGTAGAAAAAGATTATAGAAGAGGACGTAGAACCGACTTCAGTTGCTCGTATGCTCCTTATCATCATGTATCAAATTAGAGAAAATGAACGTTGAGGGAGAGAGAAAATAGATAGAGGTATGATTGGAGGCAATTGTGTGGCGTGATTGGTTTCAATTCCTTTTGAGTTGTTGACTGTGTCCGTGAGAAGACGCGCAGGGTGAGAGAACAGCTGCATGCCAAGTGGATGACGGGAGTTGTTACTGGACAGGAACAAAGAACTTTTCCTCGCAGTAATGCGCCACGTGCCAAGAAGCATGCATACCGTGCGAGCTCGCGGCGTGTGCACGCCGCGAAGCAACTGGGAACTTACCTCGCTGACGTTCTCCGGAAAAAAAAAATGGAGTAATTATCATGGATGGATAGTGCGCAGACTTCTCCTCAGATGCAAGCGTACTACTCACCCCTCGTGTTCTCTTCGAAGAAAGAGAGAGGGTAGCAGGTTGGCGCCTTTCATGAGACAGAAGGTACTCTTCTCTTGGGTGTAAAGCGTGGGTTTGGTGCTTGAGCGGCTACCGCAGCAGACTCTGTGTGTGTGGCGAGGTTTTCAGGCGAGAGGTAGGTAGTTTCTTGTCTTGGGTGTAAAGCGTGGTACTTGAGAGATTGCCGCACCAGTCTCTGTGTGTGTGTGTGTGTGTGTGTGTGAGAGAGAGAGAGAGAGAGAGAGAGAGAGGAGGGGGGCAAGGGGAGGGG